GGAAATTGGTGTGGTCAAAGCTAAGGAAGAATGTGGGAAAGAAACGATGTAGCACCATTCCACACCCACATCACGAAAGAATACATATTCCCTTACACATAACCGTTTCGTCCATTTCCCATATCAGGCTTGAACGCAAATCGACAACAAAGAACAAAAAATAACACAAGAAAACCTAGTGAAATTACGTAGGAAGAACAGCCAATGGAACTTTTATCAAAAACCCACCTCTAGTAGAGTTTCTCCGGATTCGTGTTTCAACTGCGGGAGAATCCACGGACTTTTGTAATTATCATTTCCGAATCGTTGTTGAACAATAAGTAAAAGCTTTCGATCCAGCATACGTTGTAACGACCGATCGTCGTTGATCTCTCGCGAGCGAGGGTTGTCGAGTTTGAGGCTAAAATGTGGGAGTGGAAACAAATGAAACGGTTACGAATTAATTTGTAAAGAGTACTTTTTCACAAGCTGTTCTCCTCTCCTATTCCACTCGTCCTGAATCATCGAATTGGTTAATCCAATCTGCTCATCTAGCTCAGATAACTCCTTTCCTTCTCGTTCCAATTCAGCACGTTTTGCAAGAAGCCTGAAAATGTATGTACGCATGGTTGACATGCAGAGGATGCGTATGTACCTACTTCTCATCGTGTCGCGATTTCAATTCAAAATCACACATCAGACTTCTCTCCTGTTCTTCCTCCATTTGAAGTGAATGATACCTAAACGATAGCGCTTTCATTAATATGTATTTCTTTGAAGCTTCCAGAGTTTTTCATCGAGACAGCTTTCAAGCTTTACTTTTTGACATCTGCAAAGCGGCCACAACTTCCTTCAGGTACCTCATACCTCTTTTCTATCTCAGTCATGGGCGCAGCTATAACCTGCGGTCGTGACAGCGCGACGGAAACCATGACGTCCCACTTGAATCGTAGGATCGATTGCCGCATCTTCATATGAATTATGTGCTTTATGAAAAGTAGTGAGGTGAACAAATCAAAACGATGCAGAAAGCTGGGCACATACCACCCCTCCATGCACGACCACTTTGAATAGAATATTTTATCATGTCCTAACATATGAAAAATACATAGAATTGAGCGTAGCATAGGAAGTGAATGCTATACTGTGACAAGAACAATTCATTCATAGGGAAGATTGGCCACTCTCATTCGCCCTTGTAAATAGGGGATCGCTTTTCAGCGAAAGCCTGTAAGCCCTCAAGACGATCCTTTGTGGGTATCACCTTAACAACAATGTATTACTTGATAACGAATGACATAAAAATAATCGTAGTTGAGACTTGATCAACTGTTTACAAATAAATAGGGCGAACTTACCTGGGCATAGCATTGTTGTTCCATAACTAGGCCACTATTCAAATCCGTTCCTGATCCAGCGTCAATGGCGATCTTCGCAAGGCGAACAGCTAGTGGACCCTGAAGGAAAGTGGTTAGAGCATTGTGTGGCATGCCTACTCCAGCTTGCCAGGAAAAGGTACATGGGTCATTCAGGCCAATTGAAAAGAGATGTATTCTCTATAAGCGCCTTGAACATCATCAACGTATTTTTACAGCTACATCTAGAGGAAATTGCGAGCAGTTCTCCCAACTTCGAGCACTACTCGCCTGTGAGCGCCCGCGGTGCCCATATAGTGCAGGCACCAGACATTTCTGTGAGAACAGGTAAGATAAGTAGTATCCAGGGGGTTACACTATTCCAGTAGCTAGTTTCTCAGGCCCAACCTGAGGCCAGCCTAATCGAAGAGGAGCAGTCATGAGATTACCACTCCTCAGCAAGCAGTTCTAGAACTGAGCATCATGGATGACGTGGGAGTGGGGAGGGAAGCTGTATTCGAAAATGCTTTGTAAATAGATCCAAGAATAGTGCAAACGAGCAATATGAACACTGTTTTGTCTTCCCGAGTATGGTAGAAGGGTAATTTCATCCCAAATAACGTGATGATGTTGTTGCTTGATGATGAATTGACGGATAAAT